ATGATGATGATGCTGATGATGATGACGATGATGATGATCTTGATGCTGATGCTGATGGCCATGGCGATGGCGATGATGCCGATGATGCACAAAAAGAAAGGAGGAGTAGGAGCAAGATGATGAGGAGAAGAAAGAAGAAAGAAGAAGAGGAAGGAAGAACGCGGGGCACTGCCCTTTGTGAACAAGGACCCGACAACACAAGTTATTGGGACAACAAGATCGTCGTTTTGTTGCCGCCGTCCACGGACAGGCGCTCCAGTGAGGGTAGGTGAGGATGACGAGAGAGCGGAATGTGATGAGGGTAAGGATGAAGATTAGGATTTTGTGTGCAACGTGACCCTGACCAGAACCTCCACAGCGGCTGCCTTTTATCGGCAGAGGTAGCTGCGCGAGCAGATCCAAGGCTCGCCTGCTCAATGGTCTATGGTGCAAAGGCACAACGGGCCGTCGGGGCATTGAAAACAACAGAAGGGGAGAGGAGTTTCCCTCGGAACACGCACGCGCCACTAGGCGCTTTCTGGGGCTGTCATCGGGCCGTCCTCGGGGCTTCTCGGGCTCGTCTTGGGTGCCTCTTGCGCCCTCTGGGGGCGACTCTGGGTAGTCTTGGGGCCCTCTTGGGAGCTTCCTGGTTCGCCTTCAGAGCAATAGGGGGCCACGTCAGCTGTCTTGGACGCTGTTAAGAGAATCTGGACGAGAATGCAAAAATTCACGAAATCCAGCTATTCGTCAAAAGTGTAGGGCTCTCGGAAGCTTTCTGAAAAGCCTCTCGGAGTCCTCTTCGGGCCGTCTTCGGCCGCCTCGGGGGCCTCTTGTCCATGATTGAGAACCTGACCGGACAAGAACGGGAAGCGCAGCTCTGTCCACGAAGCTTGTCAAACAACGTCGGGTTGAGAACATCAAAAAAAAACCAAGGCCGCGTTAACGGCGTGCTTGGTTAACGGTGCGGTGGGAATATGGTTTTTGTGACACCGAGCTCACGCGGAACAAAATGTAGGACATCACGAAACACCGTTCCTACATTTCAAATGCGTGAGTGCATCGAACGAAATCGACACAGCGAGTTGCAGGGAAAGACGAACCACGCGCTCCTACAATTGGTTTGGCAACGAACCAGGCTTTCATATAATTGGTTTTTCTACATTGCCATTAGCTAACACACCGTTGGGGCGTCTTCGGAAGAATGCCATGCTCCTATGTGGTCTGCCCTGTTCCTGTGTGGTCTGCCGTGCTCCTATCTGGTCTGCCATGCTCCTGCATGGTCTGCCGTGCTACAGTGTGGTCTGCCGTGATCTTGTGTGGTCGGCCGTGCTCCTGTGCATAGATGACGTCGAAAACAACTCATCCGAGGCCGCATTTTGCAAGCTTCTGGGTGAGCTCTTCGGGGCATCTTGAAAGCCTAGATGATGGCTATTGGTGGCCCTTTCGGGGCGCTTCTGGGGCCTCTCGAGTTCTCCTGGGGGCCTCCCTGGCTGTTTCAGAGCGTTCGTAGCCCGACAGACGCCTTCGGATGCCGCTTTGAATGCCTCCGTGGGCAATCAGGGGTCTTTCTGCGGCGGCGTCTTCGAGCTGTCATCGAAGCTTCGTGGGCTCGTCTGTTTTTTCCCCAAACAGCTTGCTGAACGGGGTGCTGTTGTGATACAAGCTAACTCGGGCCGAGGGAAGTCGGAGCAGAGACATCCTCACAAAAATTTGATGGTCCGGGCCGTTTCGCTTGAGACATTCTCACAACTCTCGTTTCTGAGTTGGCCGGGATTGGCCGTTTCGCCTGAGACATCCTCGAACATCTGCGCTCCGGGACGCCGCGCGAGAGGTGGTCCGGGCCGTTTCGCTTGAGACATCCTCGAAACTCTGAGCCCCAAGGTGCCGTGCGAGAGGTGGTCCGGGCCGTTTCGCCTGAGACATCCTCGAAACTCTGAGCTCTGAGATGCCTTGCGCGAGGTGGTCTGGCCCGTTTCGCCTGAGACTTCCTCGAAACTCTAACCTCGGAGATGCCGCGCTCGAGGTGGTCCGGCCCGTTTCGCCTGAGACATCCTCGAACATCTGACCTCTGAGATGCCTTGCGCGAGGTGGTCAGGCCCGTCTCGCCTGAGACATCCTCGCAACTCTGAGCTCTGAGATGCCGTGCGCAAGATGGTCCAGCCTTTTTCGCACAATACATTCTCACAACTCTGAGCTCCCAGATGCCGCGCGAGAGGTGGTCCAGCCTGGGGGCCCAGAAGACCACATGGTACATATCCTCCCTGGGACCCTGGGAGCCCGCCTGAGACAACCTCGAACTACTGAGCTCTGAGATGCCCTGCGCGAGGTGGTCCGGCCCGTTTCGCACAAAACATTCTCGCAACTCTGAGCTCTGAGATGCCGTGCGCAAAGTGGTCCGGCCTGTTTCGCACAAGACATTCTCGAAACTCTGAGCTTCCAGATGCCGCGCAAGAGGTGGTCCAGCCTGGGGGCCCAGAAGACCACATGTTACATATCCTCCTTGGGACCCTGGGAGCCCCAGGAGGCCCCAGAGAGCTTCAGGAGGCCGCAGGACGCCCAGGACAGGCCCCAGGGGTCCGCAGGAGATTCCCAGGAGGCTCCCAGGAGGCCCCAGGAGGCCCCCTATCAGAACGTGTCAAGTTAATACAAATCCGGTGTCGATTCGTTGATTTTTCCTGCTCTTGTGGCCCCCCCTATCTTGAGGGGCCCAAGCGGCCACAGGTTAGATATCCTCCCTGGGAGCCCCAAGAGGCTTCAGGAAACCCCAGGTGGAGTTCAGGAGGCCACAGGAGGCCCAGGAGGAAGCCCCAGAAGGTTCCAGGAGGCCCCAGGAGGCACCAGGAGGCCCCCGCAACTCGGAGCTCTGAGATGCCGCGCTCGAGGTGGTCCGGCCCGTTTCGCCTGAGACTTCCTCGCAGCACGTTTCGCCACCGTTTCGCCCGAGACACAGGCCCGTCTCGCCTGAGACATCATTGCAACTCTGAGCTCTGAGATGCCGTGCGCCAGTTGGTCCGGCACGTTTCGCACAAGACATTCTCGCAACTCTGAGCTCCCAGATGCCGCGCAAGAGGTGGTCCAGCCTGGGGACCCAGACGACCACATGTTACATATCCTCCCTGGGACCCTGGGAGCCCCAGGAGGCCCCAGAGAGCTCCAGGAGGCCGCAGGACGCCCAGGACAGGCCCCAGGGGTCCCCAGGAGATTCCCAGGAGGCTCCCAGGAGGCCCCAGGAGGCCCCCTGGGAGCCTCAAGAGGCTTCAGGAAGCCCCAGGCGGGTCCAGGAGGCCACAGGAGGCCCAGGAGGAAGCCCCAGGAGGTCACCAGGAGGCCCAGGAGGCCCCAGGAGGCCCACGCAACTCGGAGCTTTGAGACGCCGCGCTCGAGGTGGTCCGGCCCGTTTCGCCTGAGACTTCCTCGCAGCACGTTTCGCCCGAGACATCGTCGCAACTCTGGGGTCCGAAATGCCGCGCGCGAGGTGGTGCAGCCCGTTACGATGGAGACATCCTCGCAACTCTGGGCTCCGAGATGCCCTGCGCGAGGTGGTCTGGCCCATCTCGCCTGAGACATCTTCGCAACTCTGAGCTTTGAGATGCCGTGCGCAAGGTCCTTGTGGCCCCCCCATTTTGGGGGGCTCCGACGGCCACAGGTTATCCCCCCCTTGGAGCCCCAAGAGGCTTCAGGAAGCCCCAGGTGGAGTTCAGGAGGCCACAGGAGGCCCAGGAGGAAGCCCCAGGAGGTCACCAGGAGGTCCCACGAGGCCCCAGGAGGCCCCCGCAACTCGGAGCTTTGAGACGCCGCGCTCGAGGTGGTCCGGCCCGTTTCGCCTGAGACTTCCTCGCAGCACGTTTCGCCCGAGACATCGTCGCAACTCTGGGGTCCGAAATGCCGCGCGCGAGGTGGTCCAGCCCGTTACGATGGAGACATCCTCGCAACTCTGGGCTCCGAGATGCCCTGCGCGAGGTGGTCTGGCCCATCTCGCCTGAGACATCTTCGCAACTCTGAGCTTTGAGATGCCGTGCGCAAGGTGGTCCGGCCTGTTTCGCACAAGACATGTTCGCAACTCTGAGCTTCCAGATGCCGCGCAAGAGGTGGTCCAGCCTGGGAGCCCCGAAGACCAGATGTTACATATCCCCCCCGGAACCCTGGGAGCCCCAGGAGGCCCCAGAGAGCTTCAGGAGGCCGCAGGACGCCCAGGACAGGCCCCAGGGGTCCACAGGAGATTCCCAGGAGGCTCCCAGGAGGCCCCAGGAGGCCCCCTATCAGAACGTGTCAAGTTAATACAAATCCGGTGTCGATTCGTTGATTTTTCCTGCTCTTGTGGCCCCCCCTCATTTGGGGGGGCCCCGACGGCCACATGTTAGATATCCCCCCCTGGAAGCCCCAAGAGGCTTCAGGAAACCTCAGGTGGGGTCCAGGAGGCCACAGGAGGCCCAGGAGGAAGCCCCAGGAGGTCACCAGGAGGCCCCAGGAGGCCCCAGGAGGCCCACGCAACTCGGAGCTTTGAGACGCCGCGCTCGAGGTGGTCCGGCCCGTTTCGCCTGAGACTTCCTCGCAGCACGTTTCGCCCGAGACATCCTCGCAACTCTGGGGTCCGAAATGCCGCGCGCGAGGTGGTGCAGCCCGTTACGCTGGAGATATCCTCGCAACTCTGGGCTCCGAGATGCCGTTCGGGATGAAGAGGAGGTGGAGGAGGTGGAGGGGGAGGAGGAGGAGGAGGCATGCTTTAACATGCCATGCCAGCCTGCACTGGACGGGCACGCAATCGACCTTGGAAACCGCAACGGGTCTAAAAACCCTGTTGGGGATACTGCACTCCGGCTATAATTGTGTGCAGCGTGACCCTGGCCGAAAGGGCCGTCGGGGCATTGAAAACCACAAAGTGAGAGAGAGAGAGGTACGCAACTTTGATCGCTGAGCTGGCGCAAAGCGATTGCGAATGTCAGGCGGGGAGGCATCTCAGAAAAGCATGCAGGACTCGGCGAGCTCTGTGTCCTCTGGTCCTTAGCTGCAGGCGTACTCGTTCATTCGCGCAGCAAATCTTGCTCGTTCTCCACGAGCACTGGCTGGTTGGACGCGCGGATGCGGGAGACACCGACGACCGCACCCATAGCGACGAGAGCGGACACCAATCCGAGCGGCACTAACACCGCAACGGACGTCTTGTCGAGCTCCGAGGTCGGCTCCGCCTCTGGAGCGGCATCGTACAAGCGAAGATTCGTTGGGCAAGTGTCCGTGTTGGCGGCGCCAGTGCAGTCGGGGCACTCGGCAACGAGGATGTCCTTCGGAGAGTTCGCGGGCGCCTCGTTATTGTTGGAGCCGAAGCCCACAGTGCTCTGCTGGCACCAATACACGAACCTCTCAAGGCAGGTCATGGTCTGGCAAGTGACTGGTCTTGATAGAGAGGTGGTGGGCATGGTCTTGATGCAGATGTGGTGGTACTCACTGCTTGTCGTTGCTACTCCGTCTCCACATGGCTTATAGTAGTATTTGTTGTCGTTGAAATCGGCGGTGGTGCACCCGCATGGAATGTTACCGTTTACACCACCTGTCCCTTCAAACGTGGCATCCCCAACCCCCGCGGCATACTGCTGGCACTCGGCCTCCGTCAGATCTTGCCACTCGCCAGCTGTAGCGAGTTGCGCGCATGTAGAACTGTGTCCGGTTGTTGGTGGCGTAACCTCTTTGTATTCCTGGGATTTCACGGTAGCCAATATGCCCGCGAGCGAAAGAGCTCTCGCCATGAAGGCCATGGCTGCGCAAAGGGAGAAGCGCGGAGAGCTAAAGAATGACGCCTGCCTCGAGCAAGTAAGCTTAAGTCAAACTGTAGCCCTGAACAAAACTGGCTTGGCTCGAAATGGTTTGAGCCAAAATGGCTACGGAAGCTTCGTGGGCTCGTCTTGGGGGCCTCTTGGGCCCTCTTGGGGTGGTTCTGCGCCGTCTTGGAGCCCTCTTGGGTGGGGGCTTCCTGGGTCGCCTGAACAGCAAACTTAAGGGCCACGCTAGCCGTCTTTGACGCTGTTTAAACCAACTGGGCACGAACCTCAAAATTGCGCGAAAACCGATCGTTCTTCAACAATTTAGGTCTCTGGGAGGCTTCCTGGAAGGCCTCTCGGAGCTCTCTTCGGGCGGTCTTCGGCCGCCTTGGGGGCCTCTTGGGTCCTTTTACGATCATCTTGGACCGTCTTGCAACTGTCTTTGCGGCCTCTGAGCGTCCTGTGGGGTCGTCGAGGAAGGCTTTCGAGGTCCAGAGATGCCCCTAGACCACTCAAAAATGGCCGCTGGCTCCCGGGACTAAACTGTTGACGCCGAGGGGGGTGACGTGGGTCACCCCCTGGCCCAGGGATCCGGTCGCCGTCTAGAACCACGCGCGCACGCTTCGCACGCGCTAATGTTCTAGCCACGCCCGAGGACTGCGCACCGCAAATGGCCAATGTGCCAATGAGGAATGCAAGGGCGATTCTCGAATGCAGAAACGGAGCTTTCTGGGGGGCCACTTGTGGGGGGCGGGGCTTTCGCCTCCTTGGGACTTCTCGGGAACGCTATCTGGAGCCTTTTGGGAAGTCTCCGTGGGAAACTCTTGCGCGACTCGAAGAAGCCACGTGGGCCTCTTGGGGCCGGCTTGGCGCCACGGGCGAGTGCCGTCGCTGGCGTGTTACTATCAGAAGCTCCCCTAGCGCCTTCTGGGGCCCTCTTGGGGCACCCCGTTACGGTTTGGGGCCAGGCACGGGCGAGGGTGCGCAAGGTTTGGGCGACTCAGCATGCGGCCCTTGCCACTGGCGCCTTCGGTGGAGCTCTCTACGGGACCACGGTCCTGTCACAACGCAACGTCACGCATGCAAACCCTGCCACTGAGCGCTTCGCTGGAGCTCCCGCTGAGGGCCACGTCACGCGTGCGAAGCCGACCACTGGGGCCTGCGGTGGAGCTCCCTACGGGGCCTTGATCCTCGTGAGATGTACCGAAATGGGCGCCGTCACGCATGCGAACCCTGCCACTGGGGCCTTCCGTGAAGCTCCCTATCAGGTCTCGATCCTCGTGAAAGATGTGCCGACACGGGCGCCGTCACGCATGCGAACCCTTCCACTGGGGCCTGCGGTGAGCTCCCTGTGCAGCCACGATCCTCGTGAGGGATGTGCCAAAATGGGCGCCGTCACAAATGTGAACCCAGCCACTGGGCGCCTGCGGTGGAGCTCCTCTAGGCCCACGATCCTCGTGAAGGGTGTGCCGAAGTGGGCGCCGCCACGCATGCGAACCCTGCCACTGTGGCCTGCGGTGGAGCTCCCGTTGGGAGCTACGATCCTCGTGAGGTGTGTGTGTGTGTGCCGAAATGGACGCCGTCACGCATGCGAAACCTAACGCTGGGGCTTGCGGTGGAGCTCCCTATCAGGCCACGATCCTTGTGAGGGATGTGCCGACACGGGCGCTGTCACGCATGCGAACCCTTCCACTGTTGCCAGCGTTAGGGCTCCCAGTGGAAGCTACGATCCTCGTGAGGGGTGTCCCAGCGCCGTCACGCTTGCGCACCCATGCCGCTGTGGCCTTCTGTGGAGCCACCTATGGGGCCACGACCCACGATCCTCGTGGGGTCTGTGTGTGCCGAAATGGGCGCCGTCACGCATGCGAAACCTCACGCTGGGGCCTGCGGTGGAGCTCCCAATGGGGTCACGATCCTCGTGAGAGATGTGCCGACTCGGGCGCCGTCACGCATGCGAACCCTGCCGCTGCGGCTACGATCCTCGTGGGAGGTGTGCCGAATTCGGCGCCGTCACAAATGTGAACCCAGCCACTGGGGCTTTCGGTGGAGTTCCCTGTGGGTCCACGGTCCTCGTTTGAGGTGTGCTGAAATGGTTGCTGCAAAACATGCGAACTGTGAACCCTACTACTGAAACCTTTAATGGAGCTGTCTGTGGCCACGAGGCGTGTAGGGTGGGTGATGATGATGGTGATGATCATGATGCTGATGATGATGGCGATGATGATGATCTTGATGCTGATGCTCATGGCAATGGCGATGGTGATGATGCCGATGATGCACGAAAAGAAAGGAGGAGGAGGAAGATAATAAAAAAAGAAGAGGAAGGAAGAACGCGGGGCACTGCCCTTTGTGAACAAGGACCTGACAACACAAATTATTGGCACAAAAAAAGCGTCGTTTTGTTGCCGCAGTCCACGGACAGGCGCTCCAGTGAGGGTAGGTGAGGATGACGAGAGAGCGAATTTGATGAGGGTAAGGATGAAGATGCGGATTTCGTGTGCAACGTGACCCTGGCCAGAACCTCCACGGCGGCTGCCTTTTATCGGCAGAGGTAGCTGCGCGAGCAGATCCAAGGTTCGCCTGCTCAATCTAGGGCTCCCAACTTCGCGCTTCGCGCTGCGCGAAGCGCGAAGCGCGAATAACTTCGCGCTCTCGCGCCGCCCTCCCAAAGGGAGAATAGGAGGACGAGGAGGAGGGGGAGAAGGAACGAGGACCGCGAAGCGCGAAGCGCGAATAACTTCGCGCCCTCGAGGGAGCCCTTGCGAAAGGGCCGTCGGGGCATTGAAAACAACAAAAGGGGAGAGGAGTTGCCCTGGCGTTCAAGCTCCGTCGGCCAGCTGTGGCAGGCTGGTGGGGGCCCGAAAGCCATGTGATTCTGCTGCGAAGGCCGGCCTTCTGTAGAGTACCGTTAGTTCGCTCGGGCAGGAGACGAGGATAATCAGCACAAGGGAAGAGTTCTCCTCCTGTTCCTCCTCCTCCTCCTCCTCCTCCATCTTCACCTCCTTCTGCTCCTGTGCCTCCCCCCAAAAAAGAAAACACGGCTTCGGAACTAATCGCCTCCGAGCTCTAGTCCCTCGGAACACGCGCGCGCTTCTACGCGCTTTCTGGGGCTGTCATCGGGCCGTCCTCGGGGCTTCTCGGGCTCGTCTTGGGTGCCTCTTGGGCCCTCTGGCGGTGACTCTGGGTAGTCTTGGGTCCCCCTTGGGAGCTTCCTGGTTCGCCTTCAGAGCAATAGGGGGCCACGTCAGCTTCTTGGACGCTGTTAAGAGAATCTGGACGAGAATGCAAAACAAAATCACGAAACCCAGCTATTCGTCAACAGTGTAGGGCTCTCGGAGGCTTTCTGAAAAGCCTCTCGGAGTCCTCTTCGGGCCGTCTTCGGCCGCTTTGGGGGCCTCTTGGGCCCTGGGCCCTTTTGCGACCATTTTGGGCCGTCTTGGAACCGTCTTAGCGGACTCTGAATGTCCTGTGGGGTCGCCAAGGAAGAGCTTCGAGGTCCAAGGAACCACCTGGACCACTCAAAAAGGCCTGCCGGCTCCGAGGACGAAAATTCGACGCCGCGCGGCCCAAGCGGGGGGGGGAGTTTGGGAAAAGTGGGCCGTCCCCGGGCCCAGGGACCCGGTTGCAGGGCTTATTCCATAGAATCACAAGCGCGCGTTTCGCGCGCGCTAGGTTCTAGCAAACCTCGGCAACTGACAAGCTCGCAACTACCTGCGTGTGGGTAGCCACGAACGGTGTCAACCTGATCTGAGGGCGCAAGAGCGCGGACCGAGCAGAGAAGCTTCTCTTGGGAGATCGTAGGGGGTACTCCACAAGTCCGTTGGATGTTTGAGATCCGCCTCACCAGGGATGTCCTGAAGACATCTTGTGTGTACGGGGGCGGTTCGGGAAGGTGGTCGGCCCTTTGGGTCGGTATTGTACCGTCTTGCGCTGGCCTGTTGGGGGCCTTTTTGGGGCCGTTTGGGGGCCTCTTGGGGACTCGTGCGGGCGTCCTGGGAACATGTTGTGGTCCCTTGGGGGCACCCTCTTGGGCCCCAGTTGGGGCCCACTTGGGGCGTTGTTGGGCCGTCTTGGGCGCATCTGGGGCCGTCTTGAAGCCCTCTTTGGCCGTTTTGGGAGGCCACTTCGATGCGAAGTACTTACCGCTCCAATAGCCGTCCAAACGAGGACCTGGGCGCGCCGGCGATCTCGGGGCCGCCAGCAACCTGAACGAGCTCAGCTCTCTCCTTCCATCCGTTCCTCGATTCGGCGGGAGCTGCTCACGCGAGCGCTGCGATTGCCGTCGAGGCGGTGAAGACCTCCGGGCGCGCACGCCCCCGTCGACTAGAGCGATCCTGCTCAGGCATGCCGCCGAAGGCGCAGCTTCGCGCGCGTAGTCATGTTCTTCGAGCAGGCCTCCGATAGGAAACCCTCCGCACGTCCCACAACGACTGCCAGTTTGATCTTCCCAGGCTAGCCAGTCTGGAGTCGCGTTGGCAGAAGAGTCCGCCTCAAACGTGTGCCCTCCATCCTTCGTGACCGAAGCCCAAGACCTAGTAATGTTCAACTTATGAAAGTAGATGTCCGCGCGCGCCCCGCCAAACCGTTGCGCCTCGGCCACCGCGCGGAGCAGTGCGATCTCAGCGCGCTTTGGGCTGATTATCAACACGTGATTGCCCTCCTGCATGAGATCGAACCGCTCGCCATGAACATTCTGCAGATGGGGGTCGCCAGTGGCAGCCGCGCCGCCCGACCCAGGATGCGTCGGGCTGGGCATTGGGCTGGGCGCCCGGCTGGGTCTCGGGCTCGGCGCCGGGTCGGCCGCTGCAGCTGGGTAGAGCTCCCACTCGTCGACGCAGGCCTGTTACGAGACCTATGTTGCTTCACATCACCAATTTGGCCCCTGCTGACTTTTTCAAAATAATATTTTGGGATGAAACCCTGCCGCTGGATATATCGAGCACAGTTGATCACAACACAAACGCTCCTGCGAGCCCCCGCCAAAATGGCAAGAAATG